GAAGGGAGCCGGCAGCCGCACCTACCTGCTGAGAGCCGCAACAGGAATCTCTGACTCCTGCCCAGGGGCGGACTGACCATTCGAACACTCGGGCACTGCCCGAGGGCCCGGGTCAGTAGGGGGCCCCATGAGATGCCCGGTACCTTTCATTGGCTTTTCATATCGGCTTTTTTGGGTGCTGGTGAGGACACAGGGCCACATGATCCCCTATTGCCCGGGGCCCCATGAGTTGTCAGTCCGCCCCTGCTCCTGCCACAACTATTCACACCAGCTCTAATCACCTAAACAGTCCTGCTCCTTCCCCTGGCCCCCATTTAAGCAGATGGGGTCCAGGGAAGTTTTCTTGTATTTGCTGTAGACCATGGGGTTAATCAGTTAATCAATAGCGCCCTGAAGTTCCCTGCTGAATGGACAGAAAATTCTGGAATGGCTGAACCGACTTAGGACTCATTTACAGCTACAGGTGCCCTGTGAAGAGCAATCCATGTTCGTAATGCTTTTCAGAGGTCATTTTACAGGCAGTGAGGAGGCGTTCTATCACAGCCTCACCACCTGTTTAAAACCTACAGCACTGCCCCGCACCTGCATGCATTGATTACGGCTGTGTGATTCTGACATTCACTTGAATAGGTTGTGCTCAGCAGTCATTAATGCCTACTGAACCCAACAGTGTGGACAATTTTTGCCTCACTGCCTGTAAAATGACCTCTGAAAAGCATTAAGAACATGGATTGCTCTTCACAGGGCACCTGTAGCTGTAAATGAGTCCTAAGTCGATTCAGCCATTCCAGAATTTTCTGTCCATTCAGCAGGGAACTTCAGGGCGCTGTTGATTAACCCCATGGTCTACAGCAAATACAAGAAAACTTCCCTGGACCCCATCTGCTTAAATGGGGGCCAGGGGAAGGAGCAGGACTGTTTAGGTGATTAGAGCTGGTGTGAATAGTTGTGGCAGGAGCAGGGGCGGACTGACAACTCATGGGGCCCCCGGGCAATAGGGGATCATGGGGCCCCTGTGTCCTTGCCCAAACTCAAAAAAGCCTATGATAAAGGTACCAGGGTCATCTCATGGGGCCCCCTACTGACCCCAGGCCCTCGGGCAGTGCCCGAGTTTCCAAATGGTCAGTGCGCCCCTGCTGCACCGTGATGCAAAGCATTTCAACTGCGGCACGTGTACACCCCTTCTACTGCAGCTTATGGGGAATGGTTGAGTAGCGGTAAAAACACGGCTCAATTTCTAATTTTTACTGCTCCCCAACCACTAGTGTAAACAGAGCACAGGGCACTCTGAAAAGTGTTTTTAGAGGTTTTTGACAGGTGGTGAAGAAGCGTTATGTTGCCTCCTCACTGCCTGTTTTTCAGTGTAGCCCCATTCAATAAAATAGGTTGAGTTAAGCTAGCAGTAGTTAGGGTTGCCACCTGTCTGGGATTCATTCTCCTACTGATACCATCCATTGCTCCACTGACTGATATTGTCCACTTTTAAGGTAAGCCAAGTCCATATTTTTTCAGTGACTTTTTTTTTAATCTAAGCATATTTTATGGGTACACAAATGCTTTTGTTTTCTTCAACCATGCTTCTTTAAGCCCCTCCCACTGTTAACACAATTTGGACACACCCACTGCTCGGTGATGCGTGCATAGCATGTCACAATGCTAATCCCCTTGGGGCACCCACAGGTATCCCAGGTCTTTTATAATCCTATGGTGCATACTACAAAAAAAAAAAAGTGTTTGGGTCTGGCTTGAAGAAAAGGTGGCAACCCTAGGGCGTGTGCGAGCGCCAATCTGGGAGGACGTCATATGACGCCCACCTAGATAAACAAAAGTCCCTCTCGGCCTTCATTTTGCTATTGGCCAGGTGGGAACTGGTTGAATAAAATTTGCAGGTGTGAAAAGATTGGGTACAACTTTTAAATTTTTGTTAACATATTAAAGCTTGTATGATATTTTAGTGACTAGGTCTAGATCTACTTTAAGGCACTAATTTCATAAATATTACACATCTGTGTGTGATTAAAACTTCCACAATCCACAAATGACTCTAAAATTTTCTAAATCAAAGTGAAACGTTCAAAGCAATCAAATAACATTGTTTCATGTTTATGGTGAAGCGCATATTTGTTTCTGGTAATGTAAGTAAATTCTGACTGCTGAATACATTGGTCTCCCCAACAATACAGTATAAGGTGAAGGCGGAAGGTATGTTAAATACTAACTGCTATTAGTTTGACATTATACCTGGTATTCTGTATACTGCAGATATACTGTCTGCCTGCATTAAAGAAGTAGCAAGCCGCAGAACTGATGTCAGTGCAAACATTAAAACTTTAATAGAAAATGACGATTTTGATCCCCGCCAGACCCAACACCTCTTCAGCATCTTCTAATAAAGTTTTAATGTTTACACTGACAGTTCTGCAGCTTTCTGCTTCTTGAAAGCTTTTGGAAAGTAAAGGGAAGCATAGCTCTGCATGCACAGCACTTGTACTTGACATTTGTAGCCATAGCACCTTAAGCGATATTTGATTGGCAGTGGTACTGCAGATATATACATTTTGTATGATATAATACATCTGAAAGTAGGTAAAAGTTAAAACCTATGCAGGTTGCGTTTTATGCGTTTCTGCATTGCAGCTTGCACTTGCATTTTTTTTTTTTTTTTTTTTCATTTTTCTTGTTGCTAGGCAGATTTTAAATGCAAAACGCTTCACAAACGCAGCAAAAACGCAATACATGCTTTTCTGCAACGTTCCCATTGAAGTCTATAGAACCAAAAACGCAAGATTTTACGTTCAAGAAAGTCCCTGACCCTTTCCAAAAAACGCACAGGGTGAAATCGTAGGAATGTGAACCTGTCCCATAGGAAATCATGTTAAATGGACTGTACTGAGTTTCTGCAAAATGCTGCAGAAAACACTTAGGTGTGAACCTAGGGTAAAACTGATTCTCTCAGAATCTGGTGCAGCTGGTGGCCAATCAACTTCTAACCTCAGCTTGTTCATTTAAACTTTGACAATAAAACCTGGAAGCTGATTGGTTTATATGCAGAGCTGCACCGGATTTTGCACTCTCCAGCATTAGTAAATAAATCCCTGTCTTGCTACTCTGTGATTAGGAGAAACCAGTTTATCTTACAAAAGTTGCTTCTCCCTATGACGCTGCCGTTTATGTCAAACTATAAATATCAACTGAGAAGACAGTTGTGCAAAGATTGTGAGATTAACACAAAGAAACTAGGCACAAATCCTAGATCCTATGGTTTTAGCTATTGTTGTCTTGGTGAAGTAATTACATATGTAATTACATAAAGATGGTTTTGCAGTTATGATTGACTGCAAGCTACTGTATTGTTTGGACTTATTCAACAGATTATCACTGTACGTCAGTTTTATCAGGTAAGCTTTACTGCAACTTTTTATATAATGCCTACTACTATGAGTAGTAGGCAAGAAAAGATTGGAAAGAAGATTGCTGATGCACTAAGTCAATTATCCTTGCAGAGTCCTGTGAAGTTCCTGCATGTCTGAGGTTCCCATGTTTAAATGCTTTTCAAAACCACCTTTACATTCCTTTAATACAAACTCCTTTTCAAATACAGCAGCATGAACTATCTGCTTACACATGTTCCAAAAGGTGAACAGAGTTAAAATGACAAAATCTGGACACACAAAGCTTATCATAAAGCATAATTATGAATAGTACACATGGTAGCCCTCACTATTAGTTATGTTTTGTGACCCAGTGCCAATGCACACCCTACTATCCAGCCAAAGCTGTGGTCTATAAATGAGAAGCAACCCAGAATCCATGGTTCTGACTGTATATAGGCTTGGCTGAGACAGACATTTTTCTTTCTGCAAATTCAAACTCAAAATACATAGCTGAAAGAAGTCAATGTTACATCAGCTATATCTTTACACACTTGTCCTGCTTTGTTTCTGATAACACTGTTCCAAATTTCTGAATTATAAACATCTACCTCACTTTATCTTGACTTGAAGAGGCCTTGTTAGGCTACTTTCACATTGATCCACGTGTGGCCCTAGGATCCAAGAGGTTATTCAAGAACACATGGGTTGATTTGGCCAACATATGTACTTGCAGGCACCACATGGCGCCTGCACTTCAGTGCTGCTGCTACTATATATGCTAACTAATATGTTATGCTTTGTCAGATTCACTTTGAGGTATTTATGAGACCTTATATTAAATATTACTATAGTGCCATTTGCAACTTTTATTCAAATCTAAACACATATGAATAAAAAAGAGATGCATTAAGATCTGTTGATAAAGACTTAAACAAAAATCTGTCAAACATTCTCTTGCAACAGTAAGAAACTCAATTCTATAAAGCCATCTTTAGCTATGAAATATTGTTGACAAAGTGGCAAATGAAACCATGCTCCAGTAAACCTCAACTTGATATTTACAAGATTAGAGAAAATCCCAGTTCTATATAAATGGGAGTTAGTCAAAACTAAGGACATGTGAACCAGACTTAAATAAGCCAGGTACTGTGGTATTATATCAGGATCAATACCAGTGATTCTTACTGAGGTCACTGGATCAGTCTTATACAGAGTAAGGACTGTGAATTGCCAGATGACCCCAGGCAACATGTTGATTTGCCAAGGCATCTAAAGAAGATTTTTTTGTATCGCCTTTTTAAGGAATTCGGCAGAGCAGGTGTAAGCAGGCCTTCAGTTGGCCAACAGCAACAACCATGCTGGCCCAGGGCATTTCCGTTCATCTTCCTGAAATAGAACTGAGATAGGGTACCAAAAACCTGAACTATGGGGGAACTGCACCATCTTGGCTATTCATGTACTCCCAGTGTGAGGTATGCTCCCGAAAACACTTGGATACTTTTGCTAACAAATGATTGTCCACATGGTCAGCTTTCTTTGATGCTTTACTAAAAAAACATAGAAGTGGCAAAATTGGTACAAAGCAGTTCTATTGTACAAAACAATACCAATACTTTCCCCTTCCACCTCTGTCCATAAACTTTGGCAACTCTTGTATCAAACCAGGGGGTACTGCTCAGCCTTCCCAGTTTCAGTCCAAAATATGTCTTTAGCTCAGATCCTCCTCCCTCATGAATGCCCCAGGGCTTACCTCTGAGGTCAGTATTTTTCCCCCTTTTCTTTCCTGCAGGGGAAACACACAATATGTCCACAGTCTCTGGTATCTCCTGTACTGTAGTATGTCCGCAGTCTCTGGTCATCTCCTGTACTGTGTCCGCAGTCTCTGGTCATCTCCTGTACTATGTCCGCAGTCTCTGGTCATCTCCTGTACTGTGTCCGCAGTCTCTGGTCATCACCTGTACTATGTCCGCAGTCCATCTCCTGTACTGTGTCCGCAGTCTCTGGTCATCTCCTGTACTATGTCCGCAGTCTGGTCAGCTCCTGTACTGTGTCCGCATTCTCTGGTCATCTCCTCTACTATGTCTGCAGTCCATTAGTTCAGAATTTTTTTAGTTTTCCTCCTCTAAAATCTAGGTGCGTCTTATGGTCAGGTGCGTCTTATGGAGCGAAAAATATGGTAATTATTCAATGCAAACTGACCCATCCATCCATGTCTCCATGCTTTATTTTGCTGAGAAATCACTTTGAAAAACACCACTAGCATTTCTGGTCGTGGAACTCTTGAGTAAGGGCAGATGATTCATGTAGCATTTATTTCTTGGAATCCATCTGCTCTTAGCTCAGACATGCAGGCAGGAATGAAGGAAGGTGTGCTTAGCTAAGAGAACCCCTCCTGCCCTCCTAAAGGCACCTGCACCTGTGATGTATGACATCATTTGCCTAGCCATGGAAACCAAGTAGTAACTAAAGAAATATAAAAAAACTTTAGAACAAGTGAATATAATATACTTTCCTATCTATTCACTAATGCTAGCAGCATAAGGATTAAAAATAGTCAATGCTGATTGAGAAAGTGAAATTCTGCTTTAAGTACATTAAAGAAGAAATCCAGGCAAAAATGTTGTTTTCCCATGCAGTGGGGCTGTGCCCACATTGCATGGGTTAAATGCTCATTTTTGTTTAGGAGTTCCTAAAGCTGAGATATACTTATATAATCCACCGAGTGCAAGACCGGTCCCCGCCACTCCTGCCTCCCTCCCCCCCACACACTAGCGGTATTGTAAATGGGCTGTTCCTAGCGTCCTCACACCCCTAGATCGGCTCTGGACGAGAGGATAGCAGAAACAGTCCACCGCTGAACGTGGAGGAGCGCGATTTTCCGGAGGATCGGAGGATGGGGTAAGTATAGCTTTTCCTTCAGCCCCTGGACAAAACAAGCAGTTAACCCATGCAGTGCAGGCAAAGCCGTACTGCATGGGAGAATAAAAAAGTATGACTGGAGTTCTGCTTTAAGCACTAAGCCTTCCTAAAACAGAAAGCTGTTCAAGATTGTGAACTACAAATTAATGACAAGGTCATTTTAAAGCTATACTATCAAATATACATGATTACAAGTTCATTTCTAGATGACAAGCTATTGAATGATCTGCTATATTATTAGTTACATTGGCTATTTTTAGCTTCCATGAATCAATTGAACATACAGAATGTATGAGACTCATACATTACTTGAGGATTCATCATTAGATTCTTCTGTGTGGATTGATTTTATTCTATGGAGCTTTTGAAATTGATCTTAGAAAATACCTACTTTGTATGTTCTGACCAGGACGTTTTGTAACCTAAAGAACATCTATGGGGTAGCCATGCTGAACAGGATTAAACAGTTATTCACTTACACTGATAGGGTCATTTAAACAACATTTTGAATTATGACTGTGTTTTATTATTTATTTCTGTATTACAGGCATTTATACTGAATATCACTGACAATTTGTGGTAGCCTTTTTACATAATGTACATTCACATCAGTCCCTGCCCTCAAGGAGCTTACAATCTAAGGTCCCTACCTCACATGTATACAGATAAAGACTAGGGCCGAATTTAGATATGAACCAATTTACCTGCCAGCATGTTTTTGGAGTGTTGGGGGAAACTGAAGTACCTAGAGGATGCCCATTCACACACATATAAACTCCGTGCAGGTAAGTGTCTTGGTTGGAATTCAAACTAAGTACCCCTGTGCTGTAAGGCAGAAGTGCTAACCACTGAGCCACTGTTTTATAAATTATGTGTTAGCTGTTTGGATAGAGACCTGGCTTCCTTTAATTCATTTAATGGCAATAGTAGTAATACATTTGTGACATGGCTTGTAGCTAATTTTCCCTGCTACAAATTATTTTCAAAGGGTGGGTTGATTGGCCAGCAACTGAGCTTTCATAATCAAATTTTACAATGTAAGGGTTTCCACAGTGACGCGGTAACTAAATCAATTCTACGGAGCCAGTTAATGAGGATGCCTAGAATTATTAGTGATCCCTTACAGAGGAACATGCATCTGTATGACTAGAATAGAGGATATTCTGAAAAAGAATCATGAAAGGAGAAATGAACATAAACCAAACAAACTTTGCCAGGTGGGATCGGCTTTGATAAGACAGTATAGACACAGTATTCCGTTCATCATCCATGTTCTATAAAATATTTTTCCAATCATTAAAACACATCGGCATAAATTGAAAGCGAGCTATCCCAGATATCATTTGTTAGCCATTTCCTTGAAGGTTGTCTTTCTGCAGCACAATTAAAATATATGATGATGTAAAATATATGAATATATGATAATAGCTAGCATTCTGTAGGGTCAAGTATTTAAAAATTAAACAAAAAATAGTTGAATTATTAAGTACAGACCATTTATCCTGAGGGCTTTGATAGAGATTTTTATTTATTTTAGGTTTTGTAAGTATGGGGGTTTTTTTTTAGATTTATTTGATTAGATTATTCTGTCACTTTTACACTGCTGTAACATTAATCTTGTGCTTTAGATAGGTAGTAATGATTTTTTGATTGCAAATGTCTGCAATCAAATCTGTACTTTGATCTTCACACTACCATATCCTGATGTGACTTGTTATATATACTGTGTTGCTTAGCTACAGTTACTATGATTTTCTATTGGTGTAAGAAATAGCCCCTACATTAGTGTTATTTGACACTTCAGATGTAATTTTTACTTGACAAAGAGTATTTAGTGAGAAATGTTTGTGGACATACATTGCACTTAATTGAAACTTCACAATTCCATAAAGAGATATACTGTATGCACCTAAAATAATATGACTCCTTTAGTCTCTTTAGTAAAAAAAGAAATCTAGATTTCAAATGTTAATCATAAGGCTGTTTTCATACTGATCCCTTTTTCTTCTGCTTTTGTGTTAAAAAAAGCAAATGAAAAATGTGTGACCATGTATTCCTATGGAACTCTTCACACTGATCTGTTGCAGGTCCACAGCATTTTTAAAATCATGCATGCTGCATTTTTGGTGTGGTAAAAAAGGCAGTAAAATGCACCCATTGAAATCAATGGAAAACACGGCAAACAAATGCATCAAAAACTCAATATAAACACACTGCATTGCATTTTAGTGCAGTTTTTGAGTCACATGTCCTGTTAAAAATGCACCAGAAAACCGGTAAAAACATGGCACAGATGTGGACCAGTGTGAAATTAGCCTTAGTGGTAAAGGGCTCAGCAATCCAACGTTTCCTGTAGCATTCTGTGCCCAAAAACATAGCAATTTACAGTCCATCTCCAAGAATGTCCAAAATTCACCCATGCAGTGGGCCACCAAGCTCCCTACCCCCACCCAACTCCCCCTCGCACTGCAAGGGTTAAGCTGCCCATACATTCATCAGTTATTTCAATCAGCCAGTGGACTGATTGATAGAAATTGAATGGATTCCTACATCCACACATTCGAGGTGGATGGGGGAATCCTACCGGTGCACTATTGTATTCTGACAACAGGGATTCCTCCGCTGTCAGAGTACACTAATCAGCACTGCAGCTGAAAGGCTGCTGCGTTGATTGAACACTAATTTTCCAATAACTCTATTTGTGAGAAGTGGATTATTAGATTGACTTCTCACAAAATGGAACGTTCATAGATGGATTGAAGCCAGCCTTTGCTGAACCAGTAAAATACCGATCCATCTATAGCCAGCTTTAGATGCTAGTTATGTCAGTAGGGTACAGTGCTGGCTCTGTCACTTACCTGTCTCTCTGTTACAGACACCTTTGGTGCTCTTCTTCTGTGCCCATAGTTTCAGTCTGTGGGCAGAACCCTGACATCATCACAGACAGTACAGGGGCAATTACCCTGTATTTTACATTGAGGATGCTACAGTGTCACTGTGGCAAATCTCAGCTTAAAGAAGCACTTGCAGGGGACCAGTCACAGTGCTGAAGGGACCTTGCAGAAGCAAGCAATGGGGCAAGTATTTCTCCTTATTCCTCTAACCCTGGGACATATTAGGCATTAAACCTTTGCAGTGCGGAGAAGGGGGGCACTACAAGAGCGATTTTTCTTCATAATCTTGGAGTTGGATTTAAGGCTAGGTTCCCCCCTGTGCATTTTTTAGCATGTTTTCAGAAGTGCAGGAACATACACAATTAATTTAACATGGTTTCCTATGGGTCCCATTCACATATAATTTCCTGCTGTGCATTTCTGGAAGAGGTGCAGGGACTTTTTTCATGTGGAAAGGTGCGCTTTTGGATCCATAGATTTGAATGGAAGCAAGTCAAAAAGGCATGTACCTGCGTTTTTGGTAGGGTTTTGTGTTTAAACAACCAGCCTCCTCCTCCTACAATAAAAGCATAATAATTCCTTCAAAGACGACTTGAAAATGCGCAAAAAAAAAACAAACCAAAAAATGCATGAAAAGATCATGCATAGGTGTGAACCTAGCCTAAAGCTAGCCTTCATATTTCTCTCATGAAACATTAAAGTTTTTTTACCTTTTAAATGTAATTTCAAATGTGATCATTTACTATGAAAACCTCCACATCATCACTGCTGTTTGCACAAATCTTCTATAACCACTTGCCCTCCAGAGGATTTACCGCCTTCCTGACCAGGCCATTTTTTTGTGATACAATTGCGCAGTCATGCAACGCTACACCCAAATTAAATTTGTCCTTTTTTCCCACAAATAGAGCATTCTTTCAGTGGTATTTAATCGCCTCTGTGGTTTTTATTTTTTGCGCTATAAACAAAATAAACTGACAATTTAAAAAAAAAAACAATATTCTCGACATTTTGCTATAAAACATCCAGTAAAAAAATTTAAAAATCTAATTTTATCATAAATTTAGGCCAAAATATATTCTGCTACATGTCTTTGCTAAAAGAAAATCCCAATACATGTAAATAATTGGTGTACATGAAAGTTATAGCATCTACAAATGGCAGTATATATACTGCAATACTTTTTTATACTACTACTTGTGGCGATCAGCGACTAATAGCGGGACTGCAACGGGCATTCTGACACTGGGGGGGGGGGGGGGGAGGACTGACTAACTGCACACTGATATCCCCAGTGACACTAATACAGTGATCAGTGCTAATAAAAAGCACTGACACTGTACTAATGGCACTGGGCAGGAATGGGTTAACATGTGGGGCGATCAAAGGGTTAACTGTGTGCTGTTTTACTAAC